AGAGTGAGTTCCAGGACAGCCAGGGCTACACAGAGAAACATTGTTTCAAAAAAAACAAAAACAAAAAACAAAAACAAATAAATAAATATAATAATAAATTAAGTTAGAAGAAAGATTTTCTAATGATTTGACTCCAAGAATCCTGTTTAACATTTGAAGAGTGACCTGTATTATAGTTGATTTTAACATTTGCGTCAAACCGACCCTGCCCTAAACCCTCGGGCTCCCCGGTGCTCCTGGGACTGGGTACACATTCGTTAACCACACTTATAGGGTATTTCATGGTGGGTCCACTCTTCCAGTCTGGCCTCCCTGACGGTGGGGTGGTATGCCCTGTGGGGTAGGAGTTGCCTTCTGCCATGTATTGGGCTAAACCTGAAAACGGGGGCCCTGACTGCAGGAGTGTTAAGAGAATGCCAGCTCTGTCAGCGAGGGCTGGAGAACACGGGGTACCAGAAACCCCATTCAAAACCCGGGAGGAGCACCAGGAAAGTGGGGTTCAAATATGACTGGGGCCGTGGAGCAAGAACAACACTGAGCCCGGCTCGAGAAAGAAGTGAAACTTGAAGGTGAAAAAAAGGGAACCCAAGGAGTGAGGTGTGGACAACAACCCACGTGAACCGGCTAGCGTCCAGCCACAACTCCTGAGGACGCTGGCGACGGCTCTGCCCCTGACACTGGCAATTGCCGATGACGCCATCAATAGTTGCCCATCTATCCGGGTAGTTTCCTTTGGTGTAGGCTCCAGCTAGCCAGGTGCTGCTCAGGATGGCTTCTCCTCAGGCCAAGGACTTGATGTGTGCAGATGTGACAATCTGCCCTGGGAGCTTGGGTGATGTGAAGCCACCACTGGGAAACAAGGTGACCCATGCCAACAACGCGGGCCAGTTCTGGGTGTGGGGACCTGGCCAGCACATTCACCTATCTCTCTTAGGTTCCCTGTGTGGCTCAGCATCCACTGCTCAGTTACACAGCTGGAATGCCCTTGGTGAGGCAGGAGGTGTTGGAGTCTAAGGCCATATAGCAAGACCCTGTCTAAAGAAATCAGGGACTAGAGAGATGGCTCAGCAGTTAAGAGCACTGGCTGCTCTTGCAGAGGACACATGTTGGGTTCCCAGAACCTGGAGGGCAACTCACAACCATCTGTACCTCCAGTTCCAGAGGATCCAGTGTCCTCTTCTGGCCTCCTCAGGAACCAGGCATGCACATGGTACACAGACATACGTGCAGGCAAACACTCATATACATACGATAAAAATAAAATTAAAAAAAAAAGAATTTTTGGTTTGGTATTAGGACAGAACTTGCAATAATTTCTGAAATTGCCCTAACTGCATTTCTGCTATTTCATATTAGGAATTTATTTGAAGCAATATTCTCAGTATTACTGTTTATAAAATCAAAATATTGATCCACTCTGAAAAATGTTGAAGTTCTCTGTGTCTTGCAGCATCAAATATTCAGCCAAGATTTAATTCTTTACATAAAAAAAGATGCACAGCTATTTCATTAGTATGCAAATTAGCTTTTGTCTTGAATAAATGTTAAAGTTATTTATATTTATACACACACACAAAAGAACTGTCATAAAATAAATTTCTTTAGCAATTATTATTTATAAATGTTTGACCTCTATGCCTGTGAATAGCTATATACCTGGAGTCATGTAAAACTTCCACAGGTGAGGAAGGGTCTTGAGTGGAAAAAGCCTCACTCTAGACAAATGTTTTCTTTCCCTGGCCTTCACTGTGATATCCAGAGGGCATGGGTCACATCTCCCTTGGGGACCTAAGAAATATCTGCTACATTGGACTTGGCAAAAAGCACCTTGGCTTTTGCCTCTGCAAACTCCTAACGTTTCCTAATGTGTAAAATGGGAATAGGACTGGCGAATGGCATGGAGACCAGAGCAGGAATAATACATTCGAGGACCACCGTCCCAGGGGGTTAAACCCCAGCCCACGCTAGTGACCGCTATACCTGCCCTCTGGCATCATCTTCTAAGCTCCATGTGACCCCCTTTCTTCAACTGTGTCCACGGATGTCACCCTTTCTGAAAACTACTGCAGTGCTGATTCATTGTCAATTTCTCCCCCCCCCCCCCCAAGAAAAGGCCTCACTACACAGCCCTGGCTGTCCTGGAACTCACAATGCAGACTAAGGCCGTCTCCAACTCATCACGCTCCACCTGCCTCTGTCTCCCGGGTGCTGGAATCGAAGGCATACATGTTTATTCTTGTGGTGTCAGATTTCATTTTAAATTCGCATTCTCATCTAATTTGTACATCTGTGTCTCCAATTTTTAAACTTTGGGGACTGGATAAGTCTTTTGCTTTATGGTGGGCAGAATTAGAAGATGGCCCCTGTCCCCACCCCAGAGGCAGGGCATCAAGTGACTGTAAAGAGACTTGGTGCCACCTCTAGTTGTATCAGAAGGCACAGTTAACTGATGGCTAAGGGGCCTTCCCTGGTGGGCCTGACTTAATCACATGAAGTCATTAAGAGCCCAGCAGAGTTTCCTAGGGAGATTGATTGGAGCACATAAGGTACTGGTAACACAGGAGAAACAGGTCCTGGTGTCCTGCTGTGAAAAGGGGTCACTTGATGATGACAGAGCACACGTTTCAAAGAGCTGGAAGAAAGGATTTTGAAAATTTTCATCATGAGAAGTGATAACTGTTCAAAGAGTCCAATATTTACCCGCTATGAACACCACAGTATGTAAAATGTATCCAAAACTTAAAAAGGGGCCTGGAGAGATGGCTTAATGGATAGATCACTTGCCACACAAGAGTGAGGACCTAAGTTCAGGTCCCCAGAACCCACAGAACACCAAGTACGGTACAGTGTGTGCAGGCAGAGAGTGGAGAATCCTGGAAGTCCTGGCACAGCCAGCAGCCTCGGGGACACAGCAAAGAGATCCTGTGTCAAGCAGGACCGACCTGCAACACAGCACATGTATGTCTGTGCTCACACACACATATATGCACACATATCATAGAACACACAGAAATGATAAAAAAAAAAATACATTTAAAAGGGGGGGGGGAGCCAGGTGTGGTGGCGCACACCTTTAATCCCGGCACTCGGGAGGCAGAGCCAGGTGGATCTCTGTGAGTTCGAGGCCAGCCTGGTCTACAAAGTGAGTTCCAGGAAAGGCGCAAAGCTACACAGAGAAACCCTGTCTCGAAAACCAAAAAAAAAAAAAAGCGGAGGGACACAGAGTAAAACAAAATCATGATTACAACATAAACAAGTTGAGTGTTTTCTGCAGAGGAAGAGACCGAAAGAAAGCACAGGGTGCCCTGCGCCTTGAAGTCAGAGGGGTCTACAGGGGGGTGCAGGAGGTGCGGGGGGCTGCAGGGGGGTGCAGGGGGCTGCAGGGGGCTGCAGGGGGCTGCAGGGGGGTGCAGGGGGCTGCAGGGGGCTGCAGGGGGCTGCAGGGGGCTGCAGGGGGCTGCACAGAACTGCAGAGGGCTGCAGGGGGCTGCAGGGGGCTGCAGGGGGTGCGGGGAGCTGCAGGGGGCTGCAGGGGGCAGTAGGGGGCTGCAGGGGCTGCAGGGGCTGCAGGGGCTTGCAGGGGGTGTTGGGGCCTGCAGGGGGTGCTGGGGAAGGAGCTGCAGGCAGCTTTTAGGACCTGAGAGTGGCACCCTCCTGCTGACCACCAGGGAGACATCAAGGAAGCAGGTTCTGCCAGTGTGCTCTGGGAGAAGCTGGAAGACGAGGCCCTGAGCTCAGGGACACCAGCGCCACACTGCAGCTCTGCGTCACCCTAGTCTGTCCTGCGGAGCTCTGCGTCCTAGGTGGCCCTCCATTCTTTGCAACCATTCTTGTTGGGTACCAAACACGGAAGATCAGCACACACTTCCTTCCAGGGCCTGTTGTTGTTTGTTTGTTGTCTTTTGAGACAGGGTCTCACTCTGTAGCCCAGGCTGGCCCTGGTTGCAAAATCCTCCTCAGTCTGGGAATACGCATCTGCGGGAGCAGGAAGTGCTCTCCAGTACCTCCTTTATACTCAGCCACCTTACCAACCTGGGAAGTCCCACTGTACCTGGCCTCTGCCTAGTATCAACTGCCAATGTGTTTTAACGGAAGATTCCTTGAATAATATCTGTTGTGCTCATTCTGCATTTAATTGCTGAAACACATCACTCCAAGAGCAGCATCTTCATAAACCACGAAAAGAATCATCTAAAGCGGAAATGCACCTAGATACACACTGCATATACCCAGTGGCTTCATTTTAGCTGCAAGATGCTAAAACCAGTTAGTGGTATGTTTTACATGCCAATCATCAGAAGAATTTCTTGGTAAAATTTCTTTGCATCATTTTTCATCTCAAGAAGCATATAACTAATTTGTTTCCACATCAATGCGGAAAAAGATCCTTAGAAACAGTGCTTTGCTGGTTTCTTCTCTTTCTTTCTTTCTTTCTTTCTTTCTTTCT